AAGTGGAAAATGATGCGTCACCCCAAAGACCAAGAAATAACACTCACGTAGAACCTCCTTCAATATTTGAAGTGAAAGACGCAATCACACGACTCAAAAATAGCAAGTCCCCAGGAGTGGATTGTATCCCCGCAGAGCTCATCAAACATGGAGGTAACAGCATTATGCACCAAATTCACAACATAATAGTCAAAGTCTGGGAAGAAGAACAAATGCCAGAGGAATGGTGCACTGGAATCATATGTCCACTACACAAAAAGGGAGATTTGTTGGAATGTAAAAATTATAGGGGTATAACTCTTCTGAATACAATGTACAAAATATTCTCCAACACCCTGTACAGCCGTTTAAGTACGTACGTGGAAGAAATCCTTGGTGAGTATCAAAGCGGTTTTAGGCCAGGTAGGTCAACAATTGACCAGATTTTTGTGCTACGTCAAATCTTAGAAAAAACCAATGAATTTAATATTGACACGTTCCATCTCTTTGTGGACTTTAAGTCAGCGTATGATAGCGTCCTAAGAGGTAAATTATACGAAGCCATGAATGAACTTAACATTCCCCATAAATTAATAAGGCTCGTAAAAACAACTATGAGTAAAGTGATCTGCAGAGTGCAAATACAAGGCGATATGTCACAAGCGTTTGAAACATATGCAGGGTTACGGCAGGGAGACGCGCTGGCGTGCCTTCTCTTTAATATAGCGTTAGAAAAGACTATAAGAGATGGTGAGTTACACAATAGGGGAACAATCTTTAATAAATCAACGCAGATTATGGCGTACGCTGACGATTTGGATTTGATTGCACGTACTACACGAGGACTTAAAGAGATGACTTCCACCTTCTTGACAGCCGCACAAAACATGGGCCTTAAAATAAACGAGGAAAAAACCAAAATGCTAGCATCTATTCCAAATAACAGAGATAGAGCTAGAAACGCCGAACAAAACTTCAGTATAGACCAATATAATTTTGAGGTAGTAAATAAGTTTACATATTTGGGTTCTCTCATAACAAACGATAATGACACATCTGAAGAAGTTAAACGGAGGGTACTGCTAGCAAACAAATGTTATTTTGGACTAAGCAAGCAGCTAAAAAACAGAAACTTAAGCCAGAAAACCAAACTAATAATATATCGAACACTCATCCTACCAGTGCTGACATATGGGTCAGAAACATGGACCATCTCCAAAACAGACGCAAATCTTCTGCTCGTCTTCGAAAGGAAGATACTAAGAAGAATAATGGGCGCGTTCTGTGAGAATGGTATTTGGAGAAGGCGATATAATTTCGAATTGTACGAGAAATATAAAAAAATAGTAAATGGTAGAGATGTAATATCCTTCATAAAAATAGGCAGGCTTAGATGGGCTGGACATGTGTCAAGAGCAAATGAAAATTACCCACCCAGACGAACTCTATTATCGGTCCCAGTGGGAAATAGGAGTAGAGGCAGACCACGACTGAGATGGAGGGGCGGTGTGGACGAGGACGCAAGGAAAATCGGCGCGGCAAATTGGCAACGGTTGGCGATGAACAGAAACGACTGGCGAAATAGACTGGGGAAGGTCAAGGCTCAACTAGAGCTGTAGCACCACTGATGATGATGAACCACAACGAATGACAGAAAACTTGAAAAAAAATGATACAAGAAGGAGAAGAAAACACGAAGAGATTAACATTTTCAAAACCAGATAGCACAAGAAGCAGTAGAGGACCTCGAAGCAGATGGATTGATGATGTTTAAAAAGACCTATAGATTCTATAGGTCTTCTATATAGGTCTATAGGAAGAAGGAATAATTTGGATCACGGCTGTCTTCAATAAAATTTACAATACAGGAATCATCCCTGATAAATGGCTAGAATCAGAATTCATAGCGATACCTAAAAAACAGGGGGCTAAAAAGTGCGAAGAATATCGAACAATCAGCCTAATGAGCCACATGTTGAAACTGTTTCTTAGAGTCATCCATGGAAGAATTTATAAGAAATGCGAGGAACAAATATCGGACAGACAGTTCGGCTTCATTAACGCAGTGGGTACCAGAGAGGCACTTTTCGGAGTACAGGTACTGATTCAAAGATGCAGGGACGTTAACTGCGACGTATACGCGTGCTTGATCGACTACGAAAAGGCATTTGACAGAGTTCAACATCAAAAGATGATAAACATATTAAAAGAGGCAGACCTGGATGACAAAGCCCTCAGAATAATTTCAGAACTCTACTGGAATCAGACCGCATACATGAAAATTAACGGAGAAGAGATCAGATTATAAAAATACTACGTGGAGTTAGACAGGGATGTATCCTATCGCCGTTGATATTTAATATGTACTCAGAGAAAATTTTTAACGAGGCTCTTTACGGAATAGACGAAGGCATCCTTCTAAATGGTGAAAGAGTAAACAATGTTAGATATGCCGACGACACCATGGTGATAGCAGATAGTTTAGAGGGACTTCAGAGGCTAATGGACAGAATAAACGAGTACAGTCAACAGTACGGACTAAACATGAATACCCACAAAACGAAACAAATGATTATCAGCAAGGAGAATATAAATGGGGCTCATATATACATTAATGGGACGCAGATAGAGCGAGTAAAACAGTATTGTTACCTGGGAACTATTATTAACGAACAGTGGAGCAATTTACAGGAAATAAAGTGCCGCATAGGAAAGGCAAGAACGGTCTTTAACAAAATGAGCGCCATCTTCAAAAGTCACAACATATCCCTAGATACAAAAATGAGACATTTGAGATGCTATGTTTTCTCTGTGTTGTTGTACGGGGCGGAGGCATGGACGCTTACAGACGCCACTATTAAAAAACTTGAAGCATTTGAGATGTGGCTTTATAGAAGAATGCTGAGAATATCATGGACAGCAAGGATCACGAACAAGGAAGTTCTAGAAAAAATGAAGGAACCAGAGATTGTGTTACTTCCTGCTACAGTCTATATTGCAAGGTAAAGTCAAAGGTAAGCGAGGACCCGGTAGAAGGAGAATATCATGGCTGCGGAATTTAAGAACATGGTTTAAGAAAACCTCAACGGAGCTGTTTCGATAAGCAGCGAGCAAGGTTATGATTGCCAATATGATTTCCAACATCCGAAACGGATAGGAACCAGAAGAAGAAGAATAGATTCTAAGGGTCAGTAGATGGAGCCATGTTGCCAGGAATCGACAGGAGTGGCGACTTCTTTGTGAGCAGGCCAAGATCCAAAACAGATTATCGAGCCACTTATGATGATGATGCTAGGAAAATGTTCACTTCAATGAACCAAAATATCTTGGGATCACACTGGATCGAGGCAAGATTTCCTTAAGAAACAACAATTCGAAAGTTAACTTGAACAAGTTGGGTAGCTCAACCAACTGTAGTTCGGACCTCAGATCTGGAATTTGTATAGTTGTATGACAGAGTACTAAGCTCCAGTTTGGTCCCACCCTTCTCTGTATTCACAATATTGATTACTTAGGGAAAAAAATTAGACAACTTAGAAGCGTGGCTAAAATAATTAAATGTTCCAATAATACAAACCCATTTGAAGATGTTCTTTTGCTAAACTTCTAAACAATAGGCTGTGTTTTAAGTTGTTCTAGATAATAACTGGTAGTAGTAAGAGCAGGGTACCGAAACTGTAGAATGAAACTCTCAAGGATCAGTGCTTGCCCCAATCTTTTTCAATTAATACATACAGATTTGTCCTAGGTAAATACTTAAGTTTTGACGGTATACAAGGCAACTATTGAACACAGTGATTAATTTAATTTTGCCCAAGTACTTTCGATCAATAGATCATCTTTAGGGGCATTTCGTCAGTTGTGGGCTATCCGACATAAGTAGAATGTCATAAATATAAATTTGGACATAACAATACAAAATACGATACACAAAGACAAACAAACACTTTAAAATTTTTGAACAGGAGAAGCTACATGTTGTATAGAAGCCGGAGACAGAATGCTACATGTCTATACAACATGTAGCTTCTCCTGTTCAAAAATTTTAAAGTGTTTGTTTATCTTTGTGTATCGTATTTTGTATTGTTATGTTCAAATTTACATTTATGACATTCTACTCATGTCGGATAGCCCACAACTGACGAAATGCCCCTGAATATGATCTATTGATCGAAAGTACTTGGGCAAGAATAAATGAATCACTGTGTTCGATAGTTGCCTTGTATACCATCAAAGTTTAATTATTCAAACATTCAACCTTGTATTGAAATACTTAAGTGACTGGAGACTTATCCCAAATATGAATAAAACAGATTCTGCCTGCTTCAATTTGATTACCAAGCAAACAAATATTGAGCCAATTCCATCCATACCCGAAATATCTACGCATAACCATGGACAGAAAACTGGTTCAAAAAACACCTAGAAAACATTACAGACAAAAAAACACCTGAAATAATATGACCACCACCCTCAGAACATAGCCCTCTGGCTGCTAGCCAAATACTGCTCTCTAGTATAGTTGAACAGCAGCCATGTAGTGAAGATCAGCAACAAACTCAATCAAATCATGAGGATCATCAGTGTATGTATAAAAAGTACTTCTACTCCTTAGCTTCCTATCATCATGTGTCATATTATACCTCCTTACATCTGTGGACAAGAGAACCTCCTAAGGGAATATAGAGAAGTAAGTATGAACTGGTAACTATACTTAGGCACAATAAAAGGCTTAAAGGGAGACTCTAAACCACATTAGAATATCCCATGCGCTATACCAGGACTCACTATACAAATACAGACTGAGTCAGATACAATCATGTGAGTATGGAGAACCTCGCCAAACCATTTGTACCTAAACATAATTTTACACAATAGTAGAACATTTATGTACTTGAGCAAAAAAAAATTTATGTACCAATGTACTTGAGCAAAAACTTCAGATTTAAATAACTTAAACCTTGATACAGCTTTGGAATTGAATCAATTTTTGAGATAAATCATTGATAAAAAAAAGTCAAATCAATTAAAGTTTTATTTATCCCATGCCAGGTACTCTATATAAAAATTCTCCATCATAATCGTAATAACAATCATTTAATCTATATGTATAACCCTTCTTTATTAACTTCTTTGGAATCACTATCCTCTCTGGATAGATCAAGTGTGAATAGTCTCTTTCAGTTTTTACAGTCAAAGAGGATCCTGTATTATTTGTATATTTGTTTTCTGAAATAACTGAGACATCTTCCTTATTTAGTACTACCACATCTTCTTCTTGTTGGTGTGTCCTAACATAAATATTTTTCTCTTCTGCACTTAAACCTAATCCTCTGCTTGCTTTTCTTTCAATTGTATCACTTAATTGGGTTAGAGTAATTGGCTTTTTGTCTTTAATGTCTTCTTTTTTAATAGGTAGGTAAGTGTCCTTTTCAAGACTTTCTCTTGATTTTATATTTTTATTAAAATTTACTTTAACAACTTCATTTTTTTCAGTCTCTACCTTGGTTTTTAACCTTTGGTAACCAGTTATTATTTCAGAAAACTCTGACTGAATTTTTGGTCTATTCACAATTTCTTTTTTCTTATTGTCCAAATGAACATTAACTTTTCTATTTGTAAATTTCTTTAAATGTTCTACTAAATCCGGAGGCAAATCTTTTAATTTGCCTTTTCTAAATTCCTGCCAATTTTTTTCCACTGTGGCATCATGATTTTTCATTTTTGAGTCAGCCTTTGAAAATTTTGCTTTTAGGACTTTCTGAAACAAAAAAAAATAAAATCAGATATTTCTGATAGTAGCATAGCCATAAAAAATTGACTATGAAATAAAGAATAGCAAAGAAAAGTCTCCCATGTAAGAGAATAAATAATCAGAATGTCCACTCTCAGATGCTGCCTTTGAAGTGTGTCAGCATGTGATGGTCATATTTTAAACAGAAACACAGACTCAGATTGAGAAATTTGTGACAAGCTACGATAGGACTGTAATTTAAATTTTTAGAGATTAATAATTTATTAAATTTGAAATAATTTAATCAATTCTTCAACTAAAAGTATGAATAAAATAGTGCATATTATGTCCATGGTTGCCGTAAATAAAGGGTTAATTTTTCTATGCACATCAGCTAAAATGTCACTGAACTGCACTGGTTCCATTTAAAACATGGTTAATTCGGTCTGCTCAAATGAGATGCACATACTTATCTTGACAAGCAGAGTGGGCATGCTGATTGTTTATTATTCTATGCCCATATTCTTTATGCCCATATTATCACTAACACTGACAAATTAAAAATGTAAATGTAACAGTGAGTGGCAAAAAATATGGCACATTTAATTTACACTGAAATGTGGCAGAGATGACATATATGTAAAAATGCAAAAATAATTGATGATGGAAATAGAAAAAAATGACAATTAGGTACAGAATAAAAGATGATAAAAAATGAGAAATATTTTGCAATTTAATCTGAAAAATATATTATGCAAATTATTGATTATATTTTAAGATTTGATAAGCAACAAAATACATTTGATATAAAATAGACTAATTAATGTGACAATGTAAAGATTTGCACCAGATGTTTACTTTTGTGGAAATTGCAGTACTTATGTAGATCAATATCAAACTAACATATATTTACTTTAATAACTTCAGGCAAAGCAGGAAAACTCTCTGATAACTTTTCTATGGTCCACTCCTCAGGATCTGTACTATGAAGTAGTCTCATTTGTTCTTTATCACTCCATGTGAGAAAATTGGGAAATTTCTCTTTAAAATACTTGTTTTTAACTATCATGTATTTAAGCTGTTCATTTCTAACTTTTACTTCTTCCATATGTTGTTTATAGCTTTTATGTACATCCATGAAATCAGTCTCTAGATCATCAAATTCCATGTCTTGATATTCTTGCTGAAACTCTTGAGGCCCCAATACAACTTTTCTTTTGTGAATACCCGGGTCGGTTTTAGCTCTATTAGCTCGGGAATACGTTCTACTAATTGTAGAAGTTAGTGAGCGTATGTATTTTGTTGTTAAAGTAATCATGGTTTAATTGTATTTTAAAATCAACAAACAAACCACCTTCTTACTTGTTCTCTTCTTACTCCTAATTCTAACCTAAAACCTAAAATATATCATTATGATGTCACTGTCATGTCACGCTAGATCGAGCAAAAAGACGGTAGTCGACAACAACAACAACCAACAACACAACCTATTATGGAAACACAACACAGACATTAGACACAGTATAAATAACAACTATACTGTGCATTAGACATATGATTTGTGAGGTTATGTAATTGTTTATATTTATGTTTAATTATATTATATATTTGGTGGTAGTGTGTTATGATGGGCATAATTATTTATCTATGGCTATGGGGACTGTGAACAAATGTGATTGTGAAAGTGGAAGTGAAAAATGTTTTTGATAATTTAATGTTGAACAGTTTATTCACAGTATATTGCCACCGAGCTATAAAGCAATATACTGTGGTTTATTTTTACTGTTTTAGTGTTCAAATTCGAAATGGAGTGCAATGAAAGTGTTCAAGATAATAGAAACCAGGCAGTATTAATATGTAGTAAAAATGAAGAAGATTCGCTTAAAGAATATGTTAAATTAGAAATAGAGGAATGTACTCTTAAAAACACATATACAGAAGAATCGGTACTGACTGAGTCTTGTTCAGAAAATATCACAGTGAGAAACTGTTTGGTAAAATATGAACCTAGTGAATTTCAAGATTTTAAGGTTGAAATAAAGGAAGAACTAGAAGAATGTCAGTTAATAGTAAATCATAGCGAAAATAAATTTGAAATAACTGATAGCAAAAAATTGGACCCAGATAGTTCAAGTGAAATTACCAGAAATAGTAAGTTTTAGTAGACATTTTGAATTTCTAACCTTAAGTAAACCTTTTTTTATTCAATAACAACATTATTGTGATTTTATCACAAATTTTGCATGTGGTAGATAAATAGCTACAGCAATCTAGCTGTGACAAGTCTAGATAAACATTTACTCAACTAGAAAGAGAACAGTGTTTTTAAAGACTATTCATACAAAGAAATGTTATTTCATGATGCATGTTCCAATAAATCTTTCTTATAGATATCCCAAGGGGAATAGAACTGACAGAAGTGTGAATCATGTAATTATTTAGGAATACTTAGTGAATACACAAATTTGAACAAATATTAAATAGAAAAAATATTAGCCTTCTATTGTTTTAACTGTGAAGAATGCATTTCAAAAAAGCAATCAAGACACAAGTGCTTGTGAAAGTACATATCACAGTGGTATTTTGTTTTATTCATTTTTATTTTTTCAAGCTTCTTTCCCATTTCAGTGATATTTTTGTGGTAGCAATTAGTCTATTATCTGATTCATATAACTTTGGACCTTCGGACTTAACATATTCAACTGCAGAGTGCTGTAAAACCCAGAAAAAATAATGAAATTATTTTTAGTGAAAATTATTCATTAAAAAACCCTCTGTAATATTACTCTGATGTAATTGTATCGTAAAATGATTAAAAAAAAGACACAAAAAAAATTCAAAAATTTTTAGTTATTTTTGTTAACTTTTTTATTTTCCATTTTACATTAAAAAGTAATAACAATAAAGTTGTAGACAATTTAATTTGCTACCAATAATTTCTCTAGGCAATATTTGTATGTAACAGAATTTTCTATAGGATTGTTAATTTACAACATACAGAATGACAATTCTTTCTGCCCCCTATTCCAAGATTGCAAGTATTTAAGAACCCAGTCAACTTCGGAGCCCTATGAAATCTAGAGATATTGAAATTAAACAATTTTTTAGTAAAAATTATTCTTTTAAAAATGCTCTACAATGTTGCCATGATGTCATTTTTTTGTAAAATTACTACAAAAAAAGCTTTAAGGCTCAAAAGAAAATTTGTTCTAAAATGTTTAGTTTTTTTGTCCATAACTTATTTATTTTCTATTTTATAATAAAAAGTAATAGGAATAAAGTTTTAGACAATGTAGTTTGCTACAACTAATGTTTAATATAATTTTCTGTAGGGTTGCTAGTTTATGAGATACGGGATATATGGCTTCCATGGGACAAAGGTGGGGACCCCACAAACTTGAACATAAGTTATACTTACCCTCCCAATATGCCAATAGAATAAAATTGCGTGCTTTAAGAAATGCATGTTAAGTCCTAAAAAATGTAACATTTCAATAGACTATATCAGCTGTGCAAAATCTATCAGTTAAAAAAATACATTGTTTTTTTTTTCATTTGTTTACTTTTAAATAACTAATAACAGACACAGTATTTAAAATATAACTTAACATACACCACAGGGTACTTTAAAACTATGTTTTTTTATTGGATAATTACTTTGGCATAGCCAATTAGCCAGACTATTTGTGGTAGTTACAATTTTTGACTTTATTACCTAAGCCTACTTATTATATAAATTTACAGGAAGGAATATGTTCATATACACATTCAATTTTTGACATATTTACAATTTTTAATTTGAATACCTAAATCTACATATAATTTAAATTTACAGGACATTATGTATTCATAGATACATTTTAATATCTGCTTATTATTTGAAGAAATAATTGTATTCAAATTTATTTATTAACGGATATACTATTTACATTGGAATAAAATATAATACATAAAATTTTACAAAGTAAGCATAACATTGGAAAATAATTAGTAAAGTTTAACAAAAACTAATAATTAACTTGAATACAAACTAATATCACACAAATAGCAGTCTCTTTATCACATTTTTAAATTATTCTAAGGACTGGAAAAATAAGTCCAGATCACTTTGGTACCTATTATATAGTCTCACCATATGAGTAAGAGGCTTGAAGTATTTATAATTAAATTGATGAAATGGTAAATGAAATAATGAAGTATGCCTAGTTCCATGAAGAGTGTTAAGACCTAATCGATTTAAAAGTTCAGGGCAATTTATCAAATTATTAGCAATTTTGCAAAGGAATATTAGGCAAAAATAATCTTTTAGCCGATTCATAGAAACCATTTTCAAGTGATCAGCTATCATACTATAACTGTATGGGACAGAGAGGTCATAAAAACCACTACAATAATGATAGTGTTTACCAAATTTAGGCTGAACATGATCAAGCTTGTCTATAGATGTTTGATAGTAAGGTCCCCATACAACTATTGCATATTCTAGTCTGGAGCGAATGAGAGTATTAAAAAGAATTGGTAAGACAAAACATGAAAATTGAGAAGTGTTTCTAGTTATAAACCCTAATTGTTTAAATGTACTGCTCACTGTGACCTCTAGATGCTTACGAAATGCTAATTAACAATCAAAATAAACACCTAAATCCTTAACACAGTCCTGCCTAGACAGCTGAGTGTTATCAATGCTATAATCATAATTTAAAATTGTTTGCTTCCTTTGAAAAGTAATAACACAACACTTATCAATGTTCAATTTTAATTAATTTAGTTTGCACCAATCGCTAAATCTGCTGAGATCCTCTTGTAGCTCAATTTGATCATACTGACAAGTAATGACTTTATAAATTTTTTTATCATCAGAAAAGTTGAGAAATTTTGAATACTTAATGACTTTCTCAACATTGTTAACAAAGAGGACAAAAAGTAGAGGACCACAATGTGACCCCTGTGATACTCCAGAGAGGATGTTAACAGATTGGGACAACACATCATTTATCTTAATGCTCTAGGTGTTACCCACAAGAAAACTATCATACCAATGAAGCCATTTGCCAGCTATACCAATGGCTCCTAATTTACTGATTAAATAGTAATTAGATGATTTACTTTATCTAATGCCATTGAGAAGTCAGTATAGATGCTGTCCATTTGGTACTTCCTCTCAAAGGCATCCTTTGAAAGCTATGCTGTTGGGGTATTATTATATTATTTGTTAGTTTTGATAAGTGAGAAGTCACTAGTTTGTCGAGAAGTTTTGGGATTGCTGACTTTATACAAATTCCTCAGTATTTTTCAATATCTTCCCTTTTACCTGACTTAAAAATGGGTACAATATAACTGTTCTTCCAGAAACTTTAGTTAGATTTGGTTTATTAGAAACTGCTGAGCGGCAGTTCCAATGTAAAAAATTTATAGGACTAATTATGTCTGAGAAGATGACATTTGTCCATGTAAGTCTTCTTGCGAGATCGATGCCATACTTAAGTATTTATTAATTTGTTTTATAATCTCTGTTTTCGATTCATCTAAATTTTCAGTGAGTTTTAATGACCTAATTATATTAAGAAAAAAATTCTAAAATTACGTTATTTAAATCTAATGATACTCCTTGTGTCTGAAAATTTGTTGTATTTCTATTCTCTGTATATTTAGAGGTATTATAAATATCACCTTTTTGTCTAGGGATATTTATTGGGGAAATTATTTCTTTTCTAACTGATTCCAAAGGATCGGGAGTACTTGGATGTTGTCGTTTTAAATTTGATTTTTCTGGACTACTGCTGGTATAAAACATTTGTGAAGAGAACTTTTTTGCGAATGTACCAGTTTGATTTGGCGTTAGTTGATAGGACTGATCATTGGTATTAGAGTTGGTTGGCAAGGAAGAATTATTATGTCTGGCGGCGATATTGGCATATGATTTTTTTTTACAGGCATCAAAGAAATTTAAATTTAATGATGATATTGTATTCTTGATTTGTTTTTGCCTAAAGAACTCAGAGCATACACTTAGGTGTGTCGTAAAATGACTACCTTGACAGCTGAAACAGGTAGGAGTATATATATTTACTGTACAATCTTTTGTGTTATTAAAATCATGACATTTATTGCACCTGGGACGTGCTTCGCATGGAGATACAAGATGTCCAAAACGAAGGCAAAAGAAACATAATAAAACTTTTTGAACATAGAGTTCGACTTCTTTAATTACTTTATTAATTATGATATATTTTGGAAGAGTTTGTGCTTTAAAATTTACAATACACGATTTGGTTGGATCCTTGTCTATTACTGTTTTATCTTCGTTATGTTTTTCTACATATATAGATATTATATATTAATGTATGCGAGATACCGAATGCATATGCCAGATACAGAAGAAACATTACGTTAGGGCAAGCGCCCACCAA